TGCCATCCTCTGATCTCAGCCTCTTGAGTAGCGAGGATTACAGGGGTGAGTCCCTAGTATCTCACACAAACTTGATTTTTTGTGTGTGTGGATTCTCTTGAAAGCAAAGGAATGCTGACATTCATTATGGGTCAGGAGTACCGTGTAGTGAGGGCAGGTGGAAATGGAGGGGTTGGTTCTGTGAGGACTGAGATGGAAAAGACAGTTCATAATTGAAAGATGTTGGGGACAGCAGTAACCACAGTCTCTTCTTGTGTTTTCGTTGATCTTTTTACCTTCCCACTTCTTTCCCACGCTGATCTCTGCAAGTAGGGCCAGTTTGATTGGGGCCAATGTGGATCAACAAGTGGCATACCTGCCCCCTAGTGGCCATATGGCCCAATGACACGTCCTTCCAGTTCTGGTTGATATTCTTTGGAGCAGTAACCCCCAGCAACAGAGGCTGAAATCTGGAGAAGAGGAAAAAGACATCAGTCTTAGGTCAGTGATGAGGGTCCAGAAAGATCAGTGGTCTAAGGATGGGCATGATGCTACCTTTTAGGATTTTTTTTTTGCCTGTACTAGGTTTGAACTCAGGACCTTGTACTTTCTCAGCAGGTACTCTGAGCCACACCTCCAGCTGGGCTTTGGTTTTGGTGCCAGTCCAGGGGCTTGAACACAGGGCCTAGGCACGATTCCTGTTTTCTTTTGTGCAAGGCACTTAGCGTTCTACCACTTGAACCATAGCTCCACTTCTGGCTTTTTGTGGTTAATTGAAGAATCTCTCAGACTCTTTTCCTGCCTAGGCTGGCTTTGAACCACCAGTCCCCAGGTCTCAGCCTCCTGAGTGGCTAGGATTATAGGCATGAGCCTCCAGTGCCCGGTCCCCAGCTTGGCTTTCTGCTAGTAATTGGAGATCAAATCTTATGAACTTTTCTCCCCAACTGGCTTCAAACTGCAGTCTTCAAATCCCAGCTTCCTGAACAGTTCAGATTACAGGCATGAGCCACCAGTGCCCGGCTTCACCTTCTTCATGAAAATCTATTTGATCATCTCTCCACCCAGCTGGATGGTAGCCAGTCTTTCAGACTGATGACAACACACCAGATACCATGAAAAATGCCTTACCCAGATCACTGTCTGAAAGAGCAGCTGTATAGGTAGCTACAATTATTAGTACCATTAGAGAAAGAAACACAGGCTCAAATACAGACTGAGATCTGATCATCAAAGTTCGAAGCCAGCCTGAGCAGGAAAGTCTGTGAGACTCTTATCCTCAATTAACCACCAGAAAACCAGAAGTGGCGCTGTAGCTCAAGTAATAGAGCACTAGCCTTGAGCAAAAAGAGCCCAGGGACAGCACCCAGGCAGGGAGTTAAAGCTCCATGACCACCACCACCACCACCAAAAGCTAACAATTCACACAATAAATTGCTGGCCCCAGACCCGGCTCTGCCATTTGCTACTGGTGTTACCTTGGGCTGACTTCAAACTGAGATCCTCAAATCTCAGCCTCTAGAGCAGCTAGAATTACTGATGTGAGCCAACACTGAGCATCTTATTTATGGATTCCACGTCCGTCCGTTGCCCCCCCCCCCCCCCATCCCCCAGCACTGAGTTCTGTGGTGTCTGTGTTTAAACATTGGAAGGAATGTTCCAGAGTTTTCTCGCTGCCAGCAGGTGGTGCTCAAAGATTCCAAGTACAAGAACTCATCCCTGAAAGGTCCCTGGGAGTATGTATTCCCTGTACTGTGACCTCACGGATGGCTTGGGAAGCCGGAGGATAGATCTTTCACTGGTGAGAGAAAAGGTAATTGCCACCAAGTATAGCAGGATAGAGAGAAGGGAAGGAGTTAGGAATGGGAGGCAGGCTGATTGGTTCAAACTTGTCCTTGTAGGGCAGCAGCACCCCCTAGTGGTGAATCTCAAGATGGTCAGGGGTGAGAGGGACACCAATGGATTCATAGCTGGGAATACTCCCTTGAAGTGGGAGAGGACTTCTGAAACTACTATTGGCCTTCTCTCCAGAGCCACAAGGAAAGGCCTAGAATGCTTATGGCTCCTTCCCAGGCCAGAGCAGCCCAATGCAAAAGGTATTGCAAAATGTGGGGGGGAAAGTCCTGGTTCTACTAGCCATGGGCTAAAAAGAATGGACTCGGTCAAGGACATGTGAAGATCACAGTCTATTCTGGGAAAAGCCTGCATCCTATGACTGTTATCTTATGTAGAAGCAGAAAAGCCTGTCTTCCTCACTTCAACTACAGGCCAGGGGTCATGGGGATCCCTGCTCATATTGACAACCAGGAGTCCCCTCTCCAATTAACAACCTGTACTTCAAGCTATATTTCAGGGTCTACCTTCCTGGAAACCATTGTTAACACTAATATACATACTATGGTCCTCTAGATCTCAGCCTCTTGACTGCTCAGATTATAGTCATAAGCCACCAGTACCTGGTTTAATTCTTCCACCTTCCTCCTCTACGTCCTCCTCCTCTTCCTCCACTTCCTCTTCTTCCTCCGTTTCCTCCTCTTCCTCCTCTTCCTCCTTCTCTGGTAGTCCTGGGTCCCTGAGCACTGTCCCTGAGCACTCAAAGTTAGTGCTCTACCACTTGAATCATAACTCTACTTCTGGCATGTAAAAACATAGTTTATTAGGGATTAGAGTCTCAGGGAACTTCCTATTTATCTGGCTTGGAACCATGATCCTCAGATCTCAACCTCCTGAATAGCTAGGATTATAAGCAGGAGCCACTGGCACCCAGCTGGGCTGGATACATTTGATCAAATGTTTCCCTCTCATAGCTCATAGAACATTCTGTAGTACAGCACTTCCAGATTTCTCCACCTGGTAAGCCTGTCTGCACTTCCAGTTTCGTCACTTTGGAGACCAGTTTGGTAATAGAAATCTTATATCCTCACTGAGAGCAAGCAGACGGGTGCCAGTGACTCACACCTGGAATCCTAGCTACTCCGGTGGCTGAGATCTGAGGATCACAGTTGGAAGCTAGCCTATCAGGAAAGAGACTCTTATCTCCTCCAAAAAAGCTTATCTCAGAAAAAGCCAGAAGTGGTGTTGTGGCTCAAGTGGTAGAGCACTAGCCTTGAGCAAAAGCAGCTCAGGGACAGAGCCCAAGCCCAGAGTTCAATCCTCAGGAGGACTGGCAGAGAGAGAGAAAGAGAGAGAGAGAGAAAACTGGTGAGACTGTCCGTCACTTGTCAGACCCCGTCGTGGCTGAATGTCAAGTTAATTAATGGCTTCTGGAGCTGATTGTCAAATGTTCAAATCCCACCTCTGTCACTTTTGCTTTGAGTCCAGCTCTCTGGTGAGTAACAGTTCCTCTCCCATAGGGTCCTTGTAAAGATAGAGCAGGTTGGTTTTCATAACGCTTTTATTTACAGCAGTATTTACACAATGGTAAGTGCCATGGGACGTATGAGCAATTTTTATTTCCATAAGCAAAGCTTTTTCCCCCTTCCCCCATGAGTTGATTTGACAAGATTCTGGTGAACTTCTTTTTTCAATTCCTCAGGAGATCTTTAAGGCTTCCTCCTGGTGCCTTACTGCCACCAAATCTGTCGTAAATGCCACTCTTTCTGGACCCCCACTTGGACTATTCCAGTTACCCAATGGGAGGGGTCTCCCTATATCTGGGAATCTTGGCTGTTTCTCATATAAGGTCACGCATCCCTTTCATTTCCAATAGTATTCTTTTGTTTTATAAATGCCCGTCTCTTCAAACTCTCATTCTAAAATGGACCAGATGACACCATTTTTCTTCTGATCCAGTTCCTTCAAACTTTAGTTTTCCCACTTCTTGGGTCCTCCCCTCTCACAGACAACTTTCCTTTGGGGTGGCCTGGGTGGCTAGGGGCCCTTGGGCTGAGTAATTGATGCTGTTTGGGGGAGAGAGCAGGGCAGAGGGAGGACCATAAAGGAAGGACTTAACCAAGACCAGTGTATTTTATTGATAAGACCACAGTGTGTGTGTGTGTGTGTGTGTGTGTGTGTGTGTGTGTGTGTGTGGTGTGTGTGTGTGTGTGTGAGAGAGAGAGAGAGAGAGTCCCATTGAGTCAGAGACTCCTTCCTCTTCCCCATGGGTCACTAGGGTTACAACCAAGAGAAGGAAGGAATGGATCCCAGATCTCTACTTTCTCCAGATCTAAGGCTACCCTCATCAGATCAGCTGTCAGGGGAATGAGAAATAGGATCTGAGCTCAAAGTCCAGGGGTAGTGCAATATTGGACTGTGAGCCTCAATTCTACTTCAGTTCTGGCACTGTTTCTAACTAGTTATATGAGCTTGGGTAAGTCACACCCTCCTCTAAGTGTCAGTTTCCTTCACAAGGGGGGTTGAATTAGTTGAGTTGTTTTTCAAGCTTTTCCTCCCTCAGAATAGTAGGCTCGATCAATGTATTCTGCAGGTAAAATCAAAGGTCTTTTCCTAAACTCTCATAAAGTAACAGCAGTAATCATGAATGTACAATACTTTCACAATCTCCCCCACCCCCCCCAAAAAAATAGCTGTGAATCAGTGAACCTGTTACCTTCAATACCAGGACACAGAACAAAGGGAGTCTGATTCTTGCTCTAGCTAATACATTGAACACAAAGCTTTGTGTGTGCTATGCTGCAATGCGGTAGGGGAAAGTTTTCTGCCTGAGGCATTCTGGGATATGAGAAATGAGGTGGACACTGGTGGCTTTCGGAGCATTTGTCTGGTTCCACTTGGACTTGTCAGGGAACAACAGGTGGAGAGAAAGATCTTCTGGGGTTTGGGGGATCCCTGTTCTCACTGGCCTTACTCCCTGTTGGTGCTTCTAATGCAGCAATGTGTCTAACTCAACCAGTCTTTTTTTTTTTTTGGTCAGTTGTAGGGCTTGAACTCAGGGCCTGAGTGCTATCCCTGAGCTTTTTCACTCAAGGCTAATGTTATACCACTTTGAACCATAGCACCACTTCCAGTTTTCTGATGGTTCCTTGGGGAGAAGAGCCTCATGGACTTTCCTGCCCAGTCTGGCTTCAAACCACAATCCTCAGATCTCAGCCTGAGTAGCTATGGTTACAGTCGCGTACCACCAGTGCCTGGCTCAACCAGTCACCTTGAGGATGATCCGTGGGTCTTTCTGGGAGAATCCCCTCTGTACAGATGCCCCCATCCCTGCAACCCATGCTCAGCCAGGGGCTCACCAGGGCTGAGTAGGTGAGGGCTGCCCTCTCCACAGCAGGATGACTACTGAGGGGGAAATGGAATTGGGTGGACGTTTTCCTTGCCTGCTTCACAGACCCTCCCTTTTACTTTGGGGGTGGTACAGTGAGAACTAGACCAAATCACCGCACTCCCCTGGCATACTCCAGCTAGCTGCCTCTAATCCCAGGGCTGGACCCCTTCTGTCTCTACAGTGAGATGACCAATGAGATCAACAGTAGGCGTGGACACACATCTGGGCAGCTACAAGTTCTCCATCCACTCAGCCAGGAGGAGAGGTGGAAGGCCCACAGGGAAGCAAGAAGGAGGGGCAATGGCTGCTCTGTATGGGGGTGCAGTGGGGGGGGGACACTGGGCTGACTTCTGGCTCACTCTTGGTCATCAGTGGTGAAAAGCCCTGAAGGGGCCAAAGAGGAGGGGGGGGGTGGAGGGGGAAAGGGAGTAGGGCACTGTCAGGGTGAGGAGAAAAGTTACCCTTGCAACCCAAGGGTAACTTGAGTCTGGCCACATGAGCGGCTGGGAGAGGAGCTGTGTCCAATCCAACCCTTTGATTCAAGCCCAGGAGCTCTGGGCTTTGTGACAGGGACAGTAGAGGAGCTACCATCTGTTGTGGTGGTTTTTATCTGCTCTCCATTGCCTGGGCCTAGCAAGTCACCTTCCTGGGGTCTCCCCCTGTACCGGAGGAGCTGCTGCCTGTGAACCAAAGACCATGACAAGAGGAGGAAGGTAGCATGGTGGAGCTAGACATGCATCCTTCAGTCAGGGAGGCTGGACATGGGGAGGAGCACCACCCTCATTCTCTTGTGCTTGGTTGCCCTGGACTATCAGGGATCAGGGATATGAAGACAGGCAGAGGAGAGTGTACTGTGTGGGGTCCACTGAGCTGGGACACCAACTCAGACTGGCAGCAGGGAAAGATGAAATGAGGTGTCGGGAGGGAGGGAGGGAGGGAATTGGGGCAGGGGCAAGGGGATCCCTACCAGATGCTGGAGGGGTGGGTCTGGAGCTGGGGGGAGTACAGGTATCCCAGTTCCTGAGAAATGGGGCACATTTCTCCTGCCTACCTTCTCTCAGCACCAGTGAGCAGCCAACCGAAGGGGTGGTGGTAGGGTGTCCTGGGGCGAGGCTCTGCCTCCACTCTCCAGCCTCTGCCCTCCGCGCCCACATGAGTTTCTTGGTCAAATAAACAACAAGCTCTTATGACTGAGATCTCAAGGAACAAAGGACAGCCTGTGGCCTCCAAGAAAAGGGGACTTGGAATTAGACTGGGCCAGGTGGAGGGGAGCGATGACAGAAGGGGTGGGAGGTGCCCCTCAAGGCTTGGGCATTAGGGCCCCTGGAAGAGGACCCCTACCCAGGCCCCACTGCAGGCCAGCCTGGTCAGGAGATCTCATTGCCAAACACCTCAAGCACAAGGGGTGTGAGCTTCGTGCTGCTCCCGGGCTGGAAGGAGAGGCAGCGGTACTGCTTAGAGTGCTCCTCATTGAGGCTGCGCAGGTCGGCCAGCTTCTGGATCATCTTGGCATAGAGCAGGTGGCTGCCCGGGGGTGGGTGGCGGCAGCGGATGTAGGTCTGCAGTGTGTTGGACAGACGGTCCTGGATGGCTTCAATCAGCTTGCGGTCCTGTACTCCAGGTCGGTCTGTGGGCCAGGGTGGGGAGGAGAAGATTCAGGGGTTCTGCACTGAGTCCCCCCACTGCTCCATCTATCTACCCCTTACCTACCTGCACGACCCTGTGTGACTGCTGACTTGGGACACCATCAACTTGCCTACGGTCCCTAAACGGCTGTCCATTGCATGTAGGATCAAGTGCTTTCACGAGCCCGTCTGACCTGGCCTCACTTCAGTCCCCTTCCTCTATCTCTATTCTAGGTCTTTCCCTCTGCCTGGGGTTGGGGTGGAGGTGGTTTGCTGGTCCTGAGGCTTGAACTCAGGACTTTGGCACTGCTCTTAAGTTTTTTCATTCCAAGCTGGCACTCTATCACTTGAGCCACACCTCCCTTCTCCCCCCCCCCCATCCCGCCCCTTTTTGGATCCTCAGATCTCAGTCTCCTGAGTGGCTAGGATTACATGGGTGCCACCAGTGTCCAGCCATACCTTGATTTTCAAAACTCTCATCACATTAGGAATTAACCATTACATGGTGTTCATCTCATGGAAGCTTCATGGAAAGGGAGAGTAATGGCCTTTGCTGTAACTAGTAAGTCATTGCTGGCTATATGGACACAGGAGAGGAGAAAGGGGAGGCTGTGTCCTTGCCTTGGGCCTACAGAAGGAGATAAGAACATGGTCCTGGGCACAGACGCTTTACTTGTTCTCTGAACATGGCTCAGGCTGACGCAAAGCTGCATTGCCAATAAGACCAGAATAATTTCCTCCTCAGCCTTTTCCCCTCTTCCCAGCCCAAATAATAAGAAGAGATCAAGAGTCACCATACAATGCCTCCAAAAACAGTCTCTAGACAGATCCATCTATCATTCTCCAGTTGTTTTTTTGTTTTGTTTTGTTTTTGCCATCCTAGGGATTGAACTCAGGGCCTGAGTGCTGTCCTTGAGCTTTTTATTCCGCTCAAAGCTAGCCCTCTACCACTTGAGCCACAGCTCCATTTTTGGCTTTTTAGTCATTAATTGAAAATAAGAGTCTCACAGACTTTCCTGCCCATCTGGCTTTGAACTGTTATCCTACCTGAATAGCTAGAATTAGAGGCATGAGCTACCAGTACCCAGCTACTCCAGGGTTTTATGCTTAGTCTCTAAGGAACCTTGAGTCACCGGAAAGTTCAGCCCAGTTCATACGAGGAGAGCCTGGGAATTGGGAACACACAGGCCTGTGACCCTGTTTATCTGGTTCTTCAGAGCCCATGAATCACCTTCAGTCTCTATAAGGCAAAGCTAAGGGCAAGAGGGATCCCCCCCAGTGGACCCCAGTAGGCCACATACCCCAGGACAGTGGGTATTTACTTTTGCTTCTGGCCTTCACTAGGACTTTGTTGCTCACTTCCCAGGTTCCCAAGTTCCCAGCAATCCTTGGGCTGCATTACCTGGGGAGACAATGCAGATGGCCATGAGCAGGACATGTTCCTCCTCGTGCAAGTTCAGCTTCTTCAACCCCACCTGGAACTTGATGAGGGGCTCAATCAGCTCCTGGTTGTGTCCCGCTGTGGGAGAGAATAGCCAGGTGTTGTGGACAGAAATGGGGGAGCTGCCCACCCTCATAGAGTCGGACCCTGGCCCTTCTTTCCCTAAAGGAGTGTTTGCCTAGACCCCTTCCATATGCCTGATGGGAACTCAAGACCTCCGGGTGAGGTGGAGCCAGAGGAAAAGGTACAGGAGGACTCCAGCCGCACCTTTGGTCACATCAGTCACATCGTATTTGTAGTCCTGGCTGCCACAGTCCCAGGTCATGTCATCCATGCTGAAGGACTGGTTAGAGCGCAACATGATCACCTCGATGGCACTGGACTTCAGCAGCACGATTTGGTCGTCAGCGGTGAGATCCCTGTGGGGAGGGGCAGGAGGGTGTGGGGTGACCCTCACATCACAAATCACACAGCGCAAATCACACACATCTGTTTAGTGTTTTGGCCTGACAGGTGAGCTGCAGGTACTCAGATCCTTCATCAAGGGTTTGCTTTTGGGGCTGGGAATGTGGCTCAGTGGTAGAGCGCTTGCCTTGCATGCCTGAGGCCCTGGGTTTGATTCCTCAGCACCAAATAAGCAGAAAAAGCTGGAAGTGGTGCTGTGGCTCAAGTGGTAGAGCGCTAGCCTTGAGCTGAAGAGCTGAGGGACAGCGCCCAGGCCCAGAGTTCAGGACCCACAACCGGACCCCCCCCCCCAAAAAAAAAGAGTTTGTTTTTGTTTTTTGGTGCTAGTCCCTGGGGCTTGAACTCAGGGCCTGGATACTATCCCTAAGATTTATTGTGCTCAAGGCTACTGCTCTACCACTTGAGCCACAGCTCCACTTCTGGCTTGTTAGTGGTTAATTAGAGTCTCATGGACTTTCCTGCTTGGGCTGGCTTAGAACTGTGATCCTCAGATCTTAGTCTCCTGAGTAGCTAGGATTACAGGTGTGAGCCACTGGTGTCCTGCTTCATCAAGGGGTTTGTAACCTAGTTGGAGAGGAAAAGAATATTCCTTGAGGGAGAACAAGTCAAGACTGCTTGTGTACTAAGGTGAGAAGTGAAACAGCTTGGTGACTAAGACAGAAGAAAGCCAGCCAGTGACTTACGCAGCCCGAGCTTTTAGGGACAGGAAGAGAGCTTAAAGAAGCTTCCCAAGTTATGACATGAATAGGTTCATCTTGATACCACCCATGATTCCTTTCTCTTATCTTTTCTTTCCCTTTTTTTCCCCTTTTTTTCCTTTCCTTTCCTTTCCTTCCTTTCCTTCTCTTCCCTCTCCTTCCCTCCCCTCCCCTCCCCATCCTTCCCCCTCCTCATCCCTCCCTTTCCCTTCACTTTCCTTCTATTCCTCCTTTCCCTTCCCCTTCTCTTTCCCCTCTTCCTTTCCTTTCTCTTCCCTTCTTTCCCCTGCCCCTAGGGCGTAACTTTTTCCTTCAAGGTTGGTGCTCTACCACTTGAGTCATAGCTCCACTTCCAGCTTTTTTGCTGATTAATTGGAGGTATGTGTCTTGATTTGTCTGCTCAGGCTGGCTTTGAAGCGTATTCAGATCTCAGCTTCCTGAGTATCTAGAATTACAAACATGAGCCACCAGCCTCCTGTCCTCTAGTCCTCAGTAGTAAGCTCAATCAATTCTTTCTCCAGGAGAAAGAATTGGCCTTGGGCTTATCCTGTTTCCACCAGGATATTCTGGTTCAAGACTTGATTGTCCTCTACAATAGACTCCTATTGGAACCCCAAACTCTCTCAGGTCTCTCGCTCGCTCATCTTTCCTACTTCTGCCTCACCTAAATGTCATTCTTGTGACCAGAAGTTCAACCTCTCTCTCTCTCTCTCCCTCTTCCTCTCCCTTCCCCCCACTGTTTCTCTCTCTCTCTCCCTCTCTCTCAGTGGTACTTGGATTTGAACTTAGGGCCTTTTTCTTGCTAGAAAGGCACTCTACTGCTTGAACCATGCTTCCAGCCTATCCTTACTAACTTTCAAACACTGCCTCCCTACTCCCCGCCCTCCCCCCCACACACACCAGGATCAAGCCTGTACTCCTTAATTTGGCTCCATTTCTTTTCCCAGCCTCACTTCCTATCCCAGCCTCTACTACCCCTCCATTCTAGCAATACTGGCACTGTGCATTTGGATGCTGTGTATTCACACACCTCCATGCCTTTGAGCATGCTGCAAGCTCCGGGCAGGAGCTTCCATCCTTCTTCTGATGTTCTGCCGTATCTTTCTGCTCCTGAACCCAGCCCTCACACTGCAATACTGTAAGCAGAATTACAACCCACTTGCATTGCTGCTTTAAAACAATGTTATTGTAGGGGCTGGGAAGGTGGCTCAGTGGTAGAGTGCTTGCCTTGCATGCATGAGGCCCTGGGTTCTATTCCTCAGCACCACATAAGCAGAAAAAGCCAGAAGTGGAGCTATGGCTCAAGTAGTAGAGCACTAGCCTTGAGCTGAAGAGCTCAGGGACAAGTGCCCAGGCCCAGAGTTCAGGCCCCATCACCGACAAAAAAAAAAAAAAATGTTATTGTAAACTAGTATATGTTTAGGACAAGCAGAAAAGGTCAAAAGCTATGTACATATGACCATATAAGATGATGTTAAGTGAAATGAACCCTAAGGTAGGGACACAAGTGTTTTTTCTTTCTTTTTTGCTCTTGTTTTTAACGTATTTAAAATGTACTATGTGATTTTTTTTGCTTTTCTTGTATGTTCTTCCCCCACAGCATAACCCCTGTTTTCACTGTATTTGGTGTAGGTGCACTGCATATCCATTTTCTAATTTGGGGAGGGGAAGGGAAATAACAACATGCTTAAATAAGGATACAGGTTGACCCATTTAACAATGAGATGTACAAGACACTATGTAGAAAATGAACTTTACAACTTGGCGGGGGAGGGGAGGGAGGAGTAGGGGAGGTGGGAAGGGCAGGGATCCTAGGGGGAAAACAAAGGAGGAGGTAACAATGCTCAACAGGAAATGTACTCATTACCTTACTCATGTACCCCTCTGTACAGTATTTTTACAATAAAAAAAAACATAAGAAAATGTTATTGTACAGGTGATGTACAGTTTGGGTTACAGTTTGTGCGTTGCTTTTGCTTGTGCTTTGCCTTTCCCTGTGTTTCCTTTCAGCTTTATAAAAGATTGTTTCTGCCTCTTTGGTTTACTTGTTTTTGGTGTTTGTGTTTGCTTGTGTGTGTGTGTGTGTGTGTGTGTGTGTGTATGTGTGTGTGTGTGTGTGTGTGTGTGTGTGTGTGTGTGTGTGTGTGTGTATGCCAGTCCTGGGGCTTGAATTCAGGGCTTGGGCTCTGTCCCTAAGCTTCTTTTGGTCAAGGCTAGCCAATCTATCACTTAAGCTATAGTTCCACTCCAGGTTTTTTGTTAGTTTATTGGAGATAAGAGTCTCACAGATGTTCCCACCTGGGCTGGCTTTGAACCATGATCCTCAGATCTCAGTCTTCTGAGTAGCTAGGATTACAGGTGTGAGTCAACAGTGCCTGGCTTAATTCTTCTCTTGAGCTATGATCAATTCATCCATTGCTTATAGTTTCATACCCTGAAGGCATGCAGAACCAAACTTTCACATGAACATGAAAAGTCCCTTTTCACCATGGCTAATGGATTTTTTTTTTTTTGGAAGTTGTGGGATTTGAATGCAGGGCTTCACATTTGCTGAGAAGCAATCTGTTGCTGAGCTATCCTCCAGCTCTTTTCTGAGCTGTTACTTTTGAGATAAGTGTCACTTCCTGCCTGGACTGAGATCTTCCTATTTTTTGCTTCCTGTTGTAGCAGGGATAACAGGCAAGATCACCATTCCATTTGTGTGTGTGTGTGTGTGTGTGTGTGTGTGTGTGTGTCTGTGTCTGTGTGTGTGTGTGTGTGTCTGTGTGTCTGTGTGGTCCTGGGGCTTGAACTTGGCTTGGGTATTGTCCCTGAGCTTTTGTGCTGAAGGCTAGCGCTCTATCACCTGAACCACAGCTCCACTTCTGGATTTTTTTGGGGGGTCCAGTTATGGGGCCTGAACTCTGGGCCTGGGCGCTGTCCCTCAACTCTTCAGCTCAAGGCTAGCGCTCTACCTCTTGAGCCACAGCACCACTTCCGGCTTTTTTTTCTTTTTGCTTATGTGGTGCTGAGGAATTGAACCCAGGGCTTCATGTATGCAAGGCAAGCGCTCTACCACTGAGCCACCTTCCCAGCCCCATGGATTTTTTTTTTTTTTTTTTTTTTTAGTTTAGTGGAGAGAAGAGTCTTACAGACTTTCCTGCTCAGGCTGGCTTCAAACAATGATCCTCAGATCTCAGCCTCCCAAGTATCAGGGATTTCAGACATGAGTCACCAGTGTTCAGCTGGGATTTCTTTTTTTCTTTTTTATTGTGAAAATACTGTACAGAGGGATTACAATTACATGGGCAAGATAGTGAGTACATTTCTTATCAAGCATTGTAGCCTCCTCCTTTGTTTACCCTTCCCATCCTCCCTCCGCCCCCCCTCCCCCTGCACCAAAGTTGTAAAGTTCGTTTTCGACATAACGACTTGTACATCTCATTGTTGCAATGGGTCCACTTGTATCCCTATTTAAACGATTTGTTTTTCCCCTTCCCCTCCACAAATTATACTGACATCAAATACAGTGAAAGCAGGGGTTATGCTGTGGGGGAGGGACATACAAAGCAACAAAGAAATAATCTTATAAATGTGTTAGAAACAATCGCATGAAAGAAAAAAAAACATTTAATACATATATTAGGATTCATTTCCCTAACAACACCTTATCTGACCTTTTCTGCTTGACTCAGACATAAACTAGATATTGCAAATAAGGGAAACCATGGGACCTATGTTTCTTTGGGTCTGGCTTACTTCACTTAAGATAATTTTTTCCAAGCCTTTCCATTTCCTAACAAATGGGGCAATGCCATTCTTTCTGATGGAGGCATAGAATTCCATTGTGTGTGTGTGTATATATATATATATATATATATATATATATATATATATCACATTTTCTTGATCCATTCATCTACTGAGGGGCATCTGGATTAGTTCCATATCTTAGCTATGGTAAATAATGCTGCAATAAACATAGTCGTTCAGCTGGGATTTCTAAGCATGGTTCGAAGCTTAGAACAGTGGTGCACAAGAGTTGATGCCAGGGGAAGCAGGTAGGAAGTCTCCTCCTACAGCCACGTAGCTCCTCCCTGGTTTGCCCCCTTGTCATTTCATAGTTGTGGCCGCTTTGGGGCATCTGATCTGTGCCCTGGCATGGCGCTGCGGTGTCTATGTCTTTCCCACCCTTAAGGGCAGGGTCTAGCCCCTCCTTGCCTGTGTTCCCACGGTCCTGGAAGCAGGTTTCTGCCCAGCCCTTTATCTCTTTGCAGCCATTGTTTACCTGTCTATCTCTTCCATCAGTCTGTGCATCCCTGGAGGGCAGGGACTGTGTGTCCTAGTCAACTTCTCTCTCACACACAGTTTATACAAGAAAGCTGTTTGTTGGATGGATGTGCCAGAAAAGGACATGACACCCCTGACCTCGGCCTTGGACTCAGGAAGGAGTCCCTAGAAACGAACTTGAGGCATCTAGCTCATAGAGCTAGGTCTCTTGTACCCCTCAATGGGTCTCTTGTGACCCAGCCTGGGTGCTGGGTCCCTACTTGCATCCTCCACTGCTCAGAGGACAACGTCCTCTTAATCTACTCTTTCCTTTCCTCCTCCCTCCCACCCCTCCCTCCTTGCCTGCCAGCCTGCCTGCTTCTTCCTTCTTTCCTTCCTTCCTTCTTCCTTCCTTCCTTCCTTCTTTCCTTCCTTCCTTCCTTCCTTCCTTCTTCCTCCCTCTCTCCTTTCCTCCCTCCCTCCCTTTCTTCTTTCCTTCCTTTTTCTCTTTTTCTCTTTCTTTTTTGTGCCAGTGATGAGGCTTGAACTCAGGGCCTGGACACTGTTCTTGACCTTCTTTTGCTTAAGGCTAGTACTCTACCACTTGAGCCACTTCTGGCCTTTTGGTAATTAATAAGAGATAAGAGTCTCATGGGCTTTCTTGTCTGGGCTAGCTTTGAACCACAATCTTCAGATCTCAGTCTCCTGATCAGCTAGGATTACAGGCATGAGCCTTCAGTGCCTGGAATTTCTTTTGTACTACCAAGGAAGAAAGTTTACGGATGATCCCTAGAGGAGGTAGGAGGAGGGAGCAGGGCCAAAGGCTGCTTAGGCATAGTTACACCCAGAACAGCCCATCCAGTCCCACCCTGCCAGATTCTCATCCTACCCCTATTCCCTCACCCACACACACTTCTCACCTGCCTTTCCATTCCTACAGGAGGATGGGCCCCTGCCTACGGGCAGCAAGATCAAAGCCACGACACAACCACTGGTCCTCAACTTCTTGGGAAGATAAACCTCTCACCTCGGCCTAATTTTTTTATTTTTCTGGGCCACTACTGAGGTTGAACTCAGGGCCTGGGCACTGTCCCTTAGCTTTTTTGCTCAAGGCTGGCACGCTACCACTTAAGCCACAACTCTGCTTCTAGCTTTTTAGTTGCTAACTGGATATAGTTTTAGGGACTTTCCTTCTTGGGCTGGCTTTGAACCATGATCTTCTGATCTCAGACTCCTACATAGCTAGGAGTGAGCTACAGGCACCCAGGATGAGAAACTTTCTTTTCAGGACAGATTTCCCAAGCGTTCAACCATAGCCTCCAATGACAAGCACCAAGCATCAGCACCTGAGGGGCTCAGGGACTACCTGTCCAAGATCCTTCTAGAGCAAGAAAGGACAAAGCCTGACAGGTAATCAAAACTAGAATGGAAGCCAGGTGCTGCCGTGCAGACTCTGCACCATAAAGTGTTTTCTTCTCTAGCTATTTACACAAAACAAGAGTCTGGAAGACACAGAGTTTGCAAATAATAACAGAAGGGAGGAGGGAGTTGGAACTTGTGCTCCATGGAATGTTTTGGTGGTTGGCAAGGAAAGGCTCTGGGTTTAGGTAAACCAGGCCCAGTAGCACGTGGGGTTCACCAAAGATACAGTCACTTGTTCCTGCCAGTATGCCAGATGGCCCTTGTGCTTATGTTGCAACCAAAAGTGAATACAATAAGAGGGTTCAAGTAGAGACCAGAAGAGCAGTGGAGACTTTCAGGCTGTGGTGTTGGTGACACACATACAATAACAAAGTCAGTTATCTAAGGGCAGAAAGAAACTGGGAAGTGCCTCAGTTTAGCCTTATGAATTCCCAACACCCAGGGGGTCAGATCGTCATACAGACAATAAAGGACAGCTCTTAGTTTCCAGCTGAATTTGCCAATGTCAACTCATTTTCCTGCTCTCAGGATTAGCAGTTAATTGGAGATTAGAGTCTCATGGACTTTCCTGCTTTGGTTGGGTTGAAACCCTGATCCTCAGATTTTAGCCTCCTGGGTAGTAAGGATTACAGCGGTGAGCCACCTGTGTTATCCTTTTCTAATTCTAAACGGCATTGTGTGTATATCTAATGGCAGTGGATACAATGAACTGGGAAGAATAAGGATCTATATATATCCCACTACATATATAAACTATATATTGGGAGATGGAATTGTCTTACAAAGTATCTACTAAAAGTGACAGTTGTTTATTCTTTTAACAGTATTTAATGCTGCAGAATATTCAGATGTCTTATACACATTGTATTATTAAAACACTAGGACACTGGAATGAAGGAGAAGAATTTCTAGAATCTATAAAGGAGAAGCTCTAATCCAGTAGATTTCCTTATATCTGTTTTGGCCAAGGGCTTATTCTGAACAGGAAATGGTGTTTCAATGGGAATTTGGCCAGGTACTGGTGGCTCACACCTGTAATCCTAGCAACTCAGGAGGCTGAGATCTGAGGATCATGGTTTGAAGCCAACTTGGTCAGGAAAGTCTGCCACTAAACTACAAAAAAAAAAAAAAAAAAAAGCTGGAAGTGAAGCTGTGGTTCAAATGGTAGAGCATTAGCCTTGAGCATAAAAGGTTAGGGACTGTGCTCAGACCCTGAGTTCATGCCCCAGGACTAGAGGGGTGGAGAAGGGAATGTGGATGAAGGATGGCCAGGCCATACATGCTACTAAGCTTTGCTTCCATCCCTCTTGGATTTCTGGATTAAAAAAATATATTTTTGTGTGCCAGACCTGGGACTTGAACTCAGACCTAGATGGTGTCCCTTAGCCTTTTTTCACTTAAGACTCTCCACTTGAACTGTAGCTCCACTTCTAACTTTTGGTATTTAATTGGAGAATAAGACTTTCCTGTCTGACTGGCTTCAAACCTTGATCCTCAGATTTCAGCCTCTTAAGTAGCTAGGATTACAGGCGTGAGCCACTGGCATCCGGCATTTTTTTTTTAAACAAGTCTATATGCCCTGTGCTTTCATCTATCACTTCTTGAAACTGGGAGTGGGGGAATACTGTCCATTGAATGTGAAGGAATGATGCAAAGATTAGAGTCAAGGAAACAGGAGTGGACAAGGCACTGTCCACTCTAGTGAACTCTAGGCCTGGCTCTGACACCAGAAAGAGGTCCTGGCTGACTACTAAACCTCATTTCATTATCCAGAAAGTGTGGGACAGAGAGCCCTTCAGGATCAGCTCCCAGAGTGATGCTGGTGGGCTAAATATCCAAAATGCAGACTCCTGGGCTCGACTTCCCCCAGACTCTGACTTAGGAAGTCTAAATCTATGTTTTGGGAAAGCAGAGGATTTGTGATCTCCAAGCGTTCTTCTAGCCCAGTCATGGATTCTGTCTGCTCCCCCCAGATGTTCCAGAAGTTTCTTACCTGAATCCTGGGATCATCTTGGCAAAGCCAATGACCTTTTGGATACTGTAACTGACCAGATCAGCCAAATGGGGCAACATGGAGAGCTGGGACAGGCCCAGTGTCACCGAGGGGTCATCTGGGTCTTCTTCATTCAAATCCAGGTAGAAGTTGGAGGGCTCCATAATGTCTAGGGAAGAAGACAGGGAGGAGCTACTGAAGGCTGAGACTCCCTTGCCTGCCTCTGAGAGGAACACATGTATCATAGCTGCAGAACCAGTGGTAGCCTTCCTCCAGACTCCTGAGCCCAGGCCCAGGCTTCTTCAGGGTCTCTCTGTATCTGATCTCTTTTCTTTTTCTATGGTCCAAGACTGGGATCTGAACTCAATACCTGACACTTTCACTCATTGGCTAGCACTCTACTGACTGAGCCATACTTCCAATCCCACCCCCCTCTGTCAGTTGTGGGCCTGAATTCTGGGCCTGGTCGCTGTCCCTGAGCTCTTCAGCTCAAGGCTAGCACTCTACCACTTGAGCCACAGCGCCACTTCCGGCTTTTTCTGCTTATGTGGTGCTGAGGAATGAAACCCAGGGCCTCATGCATGGGAGGCAAGCACTCTACTACTGAGCCACTTTCCCAGCTCCCCTGTGTCTCTTCTTTTAGCCTTATGAACTGGTAAAATCCAAGAGGCAAGCTGGGTGCTGGTGTCTCATGCCTGTAATCCTAGCTACTCAAGAGATTGAGATCTGAGGATCACAGTTCAAAGCCAATCCAGGCAGAAAAGTCTGTGAGACTCTTATCTCCAATTAACCAGCAAAAATCTGGAAGTGAAAGTGTGGATCAAGTGGTAGAAGGCTAACCTTGAACAAAACAAGCCAAGCAAGAGTATGAGACCTTGAGCTCAAACTCCAGTACTGGAAAACACAAAAATTCCAAGAGGCAGAGATACCTGGAAAAACAAGACTTCCTTGAGCAATGGTTTTGTAGGCAGAATATGTTCCAAATGATCCCAGCACTTGGGAGGCAGAGGCAGGAGGGTCTTGAGTTCAAGTCCAACCTAGGCTATGTAGCAAGAAGACTTTGTCTCAACACTCCTCCTCCAAAGCCAATAAAGAATGTGGAAACAAAAAAACCAACGAGGCCGGGCACTGGTGGCTCACGCCTGTAATCCTAGCTACTCAGGAGGCTGAGATCTGAGGATCAGGGTTCAAAGCCAGCCCAGGCAGGAAAGTCTGTGAGAATCTTATCTCCAATAAACCACTAGAAAACAGGAAGTGGCACTGTGGCTCAAGTGGTAGAGCACTCGCCTTGAGCTGAAGAGCACAGAGAGAGTGCCCAAGACCAGAGTTCAAACCCCATGACCAACCAAAAAAAAAAAACACAAAAAAAAAAAACCATGGGGAAAGAGGAGGCTCAATCTTGCTAGTGATCAAAGAACTCCAAAGTAAAACATCTGCACTTTTCACTTATAATTTAGAAACAAGATTGATGTTGGTATTTATAAAGAGTCAGGGACTCTTTGCAAGATTGATGTTGGTATTTATAGAGTCAGGGACTCTTTATAATTCTTATGAAATGATTGGTATTATAGAAAATGTACATCTGTGCAGATAATCTAGACAGCTATTTGACAGGAAAGGTCAAAGCCTTCAATGACTGAGCATGGTGGCTCATGCCTGTAGTCCTAGCCCTCAGAAGTAGAAATAGGAGGTTGGAGAATTTGAGGCTAGCCTGGTGAGTTCAAAGTCAGATTGGGCTACAAAGTGAGATTGTCTCAAAAACAAAAAGAAAGTAGCTGGGTACTTGTGACGCACTCTTAGCTATTCAGGAGGCTGAGATCCAAGGATTTCAGCTCAATGCCAGGGCTGGCAGGAAAGTCTGTGAGATCCTTCCAATTAACCACCAGAAAACCAAAAGTGGAGCTCTGGTTCAAAGTGGTAGAGTGCTAGTCTTGAGCAAAAAAAAGCTCAGAGACAGTGGTCAGGCCTTTAGTTCAAATCCCATGATAAAAAGAAAGAATGAATGAATGAAGGGAAGGGAGAAGGATGAAGGAAGGAAGGGAAAGGAAAGGAAAACAAAGCAAAACCAAGCAAGGACGGGGGCATAGATCAGTAGAGGAGTATTTGTCTAGCATGCATAAGGTCCTGAGCTTGATACCAAACACTGAAATAAAAAGCCTATAATTATATGTTCAGTAATCTCACTTCCACAAATAAATTATAAGAAAAAAAATTACTCCACAAGTAATGTGTTATCTTACCAAAAATCTGGGAAACAGTCTAGATACCCAAGGATAATGAAATTTGATGTGCTAATATGTTCCAGAAAATGACACAATCTTTAATAACTATTATTCAAGATCCATACATTGAATGCATAGCATTGAACTCAGGGCCTCATGCTGCCACGTGGCTTTTTTTACTCACAGCTGACATGCTACTATTTGAGCCATATCTCCACTTCTGGCTTTTTGCTGGTTAATTGGAGAGAAGAATCTCCTTGGGCTGGCTTTGAATTTAAATTCTCAGATCTCAGCCTTCTGAGTAGCTAGGATTACAGGTGTGAGCCACCGGTGCCTGGCATTCAGTGCTTCTCTTTAGTACCTGCTCGCTTCCTTTTCCGTCACTTCTGAGGGAGTAGAGACTACGTCTGCTCCAACTGCTATCTCTGTCCACTTGGCATGGAGGCCCCATTCACACACAGGTGCCTCACCAAGTCTGGAGGGATCCTACCTGAGAGCTTCCCTACCCTCCTATACTCCCTAAGTAGAGAACTCCATTGTGAGAGGTAGATGGAGAAAGGATGGGAGCAGGAGGGAGATGAGGCAGGATGATGGAAAGGAAGTTAAGAAGGAGCCATTAGAAGAAAACTCTCTGGTGAGCTGGAGGTGACAAGTTACCCAGAGCTATGGTGGTCAGTGCTCAGGCCAGGAGACCCACCCCTTGTCTTTCCCATACCAATATCAACTTTGAAAGGACCCAGAATCAAAACATCATGTAAAGCAGGGTACCTGTAATCCTAGCTACTCAGGAGGCTGAGATCTGGGGATCACGATTTCAAGCCAACCCCAGGCTGGAAGGTCTATGAGATTCTTATCTCCAATTAACCAACAATAAACTGGAAGTGGAGCTGTGGCTCAAGTAGTAGAGCACTAAGCCCTGAGCACAAAAGCTCAGGGACAGTGCCCAGGCCTGGAGATCAAGCCCCTGGACTGGAACATAGATACACAAAAATCACTTAAAGAAATCAGATCACCACCCACAGAGGAAGCCTTGGCAGATCATGGTTTAAAGGGTGAATCTGGCCTTAGAAGGTCCACCCTGCACATCTGGCACCCCAAACTTGGCCTCTTCTCAGCACAGGCCCAGTCTTCTTCTGTAAGAGAGGGGCTGCTAGGTGCATACACTGTCTCACCCAGTGTCCAAGTACTGTTTGTGTTGGGGAACTTTATGCCACCTCCTATCCAGGTGGGCAGGTTCCTGGCCCGGCTCAGTTGGGGTGGGGGAGGGAGTCCTGCTTACCTAGAGAGGAGGTGTAGAGATCTACACCAGTAGAGAAGGATGAGTCTTTGGAGAGGCTAGATGTAGACCTTGGAGAATGGCTCCCTTCACTCGTATCCAAACGAACTGGAGGCTGGAAAGGAAAGATGTGGTCTCAGAGGCCCCCATTTTGAGGTCTCCTTCCTTGCCTTGGCCCTGACCTCTGACAACAATGGCTTCAAGGAAGGTCCACAGGAGGGGGGAGGCCTCCCTCTCAGACCAGCATCTGTCCATTTCCTGATTTTGTGCCAACAAGATTCCGTGGCCAGGCTGCATTCATGTTTGCCCATGAGCTTGGCTCAAAGTCCCTGGCCATCTGGTGGACATACCCGGAACTGGCCGAAGTCGGCGTAGCTGGGGTCATAGGTCTTATGGTGGGCTTCCAGCAGAATGGCTATGATATGCTGTTGTTCCTCCGACAGCTTGGGCCGTAGGCTGTCTTTCAAGGCCTCTTCCTCCTTCCGCTTCAGGATCATCTCTCGTTTGCGCTGCACCTCCTCATCTGTCAGGATGACTGTGGGGGGTGGGGAGGGAGGCCAAGAAGGGGGAATTGGAAGAACTGAGCTGTAAAAACCTTCCCTATATAAACCTTTCTCTACTGGCTGTCTCCTCACACTCCCTAGGTACCCTGAGGTTCCAGGAGGCTCCTATGCTCCCCCACTTATAGGGAATATTGGTTTGTTGTTGTTTTTTATCCATCCATCCATCCATTTATGCTAGTATTGGGATTTCAATTTAGGGCCTCAAACTTTTGCTTAAGCTTTTTTTTTTCTGCTCAAGGCTAGAGTTGTACCATTTGACCCACACCTCCACTTCCAGCTTTTTGGTGGTTCATTGGAGATAAGAAACTCAGGGACTTTCCTGTCCAGTCTGGCTTTGAACTAGGATCTTCAGATCTCAGCCTCCCAAGTAGCTAGAATTACAGGGGTGAACCACCAGTGCCTGGCAAATAGTGGGTTTTCTATGAAGAAAAGACAGATGTAGAAAGAAGAAAAAAGAGAAGCAGGATGGCCTGGCAGGAGGCTTTTTTTTTTGCCAGTCCTGGGGCTTGAACTCAAGTGCTGGGTGCTATCCCTGAGCCTCTCTGTGTTCAAAGCCAACTAGCACTCCACATCCAGTCTTTTCTGAGTAATTTATTGGAGATAAGAGTTTCATGGATGAGCTGGGAAGGTGGCTCAGTGGTAGAGCGCTTGCCTTGCATGCTCGAGGCCCTGGGTTCGATTCCTCAGCACCACATAAGCAAAAAGAAAAAAGCCGGAAGTGGCGCTGAGGCTCAAGTGGTAGTGCGCTAGCCTTGAGCTGAAGAGCTGAGGGACAGCGCCCAGGCCCCGAGTTCAGGCCCCACGACCGGACCCAAAAAAAAAAAGTTTCATGGACTTTCCTTCCTGGGCTGGCTTTGAGTCGCGATCCTCAGAGCTCAACCTCCTGAGTAGCTAGGATTACAAGCATGAGCCACCGATGCCCAACTAAGGTCTCCTTCTTGTTCCTTCCCCTATAAAGAATGCATGTATGAGTGTGTCCATGAATGCATATATGTGTAATTGTATGTGTACACATACATTTGTGCATGTGTGCATGCATGTGTAAGTATGGGAGCAATAACATCTATCTCAAAGGACCATCTGCTTTGAGAACTTGATGTACACCTGGCTTAGATCTGTGATCCTCACATCTCAGCCTCCTGTACAGACATGGGCTACTGGTGCCTGGCTCAAGGAAGGTTTTGTGTCCTCTCAGAGTTCCTAGAGTCTAGCATTCCATCACTCTCATCTAGAACCCTTTCTCTGAGTCACTAGTGGCTGATAGACCATGGGAGACCCGCTCCTCCATGCAGGTCTGTGCAGGGGTTCCTGTGGAAGTAGTATCTGCTACAATGTGTTGGGGAGCTGCCTGGAAGGTGGGGTTGGAACAGGGGTGCCTGGCATGACAACTGGGCATACAGACCTTCTGGCCAGGGCTTGCAGAGCCTGACGGCAGGAGTGGGCACTGGGGCTCTCAGCCTGTACCTACTTGCTCTGTGCTGGAGCTGCCAGGGCATCTGCCCACAGAACTGGGGCGTTTCACAAGGCCATGGAAAAGAACCACAAGTCCAGGTGTCAAGAAAAGTCCATTGGTTCAGGCCTCTCAAGGAAGGTAGGGGGAGGGGGATGAGAGAAGCCATTAGGGTAGGGGTGAAGGAGAGCCCCTGGTGAGTGGGAATAAACACCCTGAGCCAAAGGCCTAGCAGGGAAGAGCGATTGAGGGCAAAAGATGGAGTGTTCCCTTCCATGACACCAGGTAAGCCCTACCAAGAGGAGGGCCCAGAGGAGGCCACGCCCATGACTGACTCACCTGCTTCAGGAGCTGCCAACCCTCCACCCACAGAGGGTGTCTGCTCAGACCCTAAGAGGTCACACAGGGTGGGGGAGAAAGGAGCAGAGAACTTCCCAGGGAAAGGCAAGGGTGGAAGGCCCCGGCTGGGGGAAACCAAGCTTAGCTGTCTGGTCTTTCCTGCTCAGTTGAGGAGTGGGCAGAGCTGGTCATGAAAGGATCTGGAGAAGGCCGGTTCTGCCCATCACACCGTGAGCCTATTTCTGTCAGCCACAATGGCCTGCTTCTGAGCCTTGCTCACGTTGGGAGCCCCCAAAGTAAGCTATGCTATTTTTCTTTTTTCTTTTTGGAGCCATGGGAGTCCTGGAGCTTGAACTCAGGGCCTGGGCACTCTACCACTTGAGTCCCAGCCCCACTTCTGGCTTTTCTGGTGGTTCACTGGAGATACGAGTCTCACAGACTTCCCTGCCTGGGCTGGCTTTGAACTGTGATCTCCAGATCCCAGCCTCCTGAGAACCTAGGATTATAGGGGTGAGCCACTAGTGCCTGGGTCTGTTTTCCTATTTGTATTTTTAAAGTTTCTTGGCTCCTCATTGCTTACTATGCCCAAACCAGAGTGAAGGCTCAAGATTATCCATGGTTCCTAACTCTAGTCTCACTTCTCAGCATCCTTGGGCACAGCTTCTGTTCCAGGGATCTGGGCCTTACTGACAGTGAAGATGACTTTCTCAAACATCACATTGCCAGCTGTGTGTCCTCTCCCTAACATCTATACCAGTCCTATCCCTTCTTTAGTGGCCAGATGGTTGCCCTCTTTTGCCATAAAGCCATTTTTGGGGTTTTGTTGTTGTTGCTATATTGGAACTTGAACTCAGGGCCTGGGGAGCTGTCCCTGAGCTTTGTTGCTCAAGGCTAATGCTTTACCACTTTGAACCATCACATCACTTCCAGTTTTCTGGTGGTTAATTGGAGATATAGAAGGCCTCCTGCCCAAGCTGGTTTTGAATGTGATCCTCAGATCTCAGCCTCCTGAGTAGCTAGGATTATAGACATGAGCCACTGGAGCCTGGCTAAGTCTTCCACTCTTTAAGCCTACAGTGAGAACTTAAAAAGATCTCTGCACTACACCATAAATCTTAAGGCCAAGGGTCATGTCATAGTTCTTGACCTTTCTCCACAGCCCAGGAGGTTCATGATCACAGAGCTTGCCTTATAGTCTAACACCAAATATCAAGCGTATCAATGCAGATTGTACCTCCATATGGAAGTCCTTGTCCTTGGCTAATGAAAGGGCATTGAGGAGTGCTCCAGGGTGCTTAAACCCTGCAATGTTGCCCTGAATGGCACACATGCCATGTCAGGCTACTGAGTAACTAAACACATTACCTCTTCACCCCCCCCCCCCCCCCCCCCCGTGCCTGTCCTGGGGCTTGAAATCAATACCTGAGCACTGTCCTTTATCTTTTTTTGCCTAAAGCTAGTGCTCTACCATTTGAACTGCAGCTCCACTTTCAATTTTTTGGTGGTTTATTGGAGACACGAGTCTCACAGACTTTCTTGCTTGGTCTGGCTTCAAACTGTGATCCTCTCAGATCTCAGCCTCCTGAGTAGCTAGGATTATAGGTGTGAGCCATCAGGGCCCAGCCTGTAGATACTTTTTGTATACACTGACTCATATATACTTACTCCTTATTATAAACCCTTAAGGCAAGTGCTCTTATTGACCCTATTTTACAGATGGGGGACCTGAGGTCAGAAAGGCCACATGTCTTGCTCAGAGTCACACAGCTAACATGGTGACTGGTTCAGGCATCAATAGCCACAACCACCATGCTATCTACCTCTGAATATAACAGTTATGGCACTCAGTGGCACGGTGGCTACCAGCCTCAGAGCTGGAACTCACAACACGCTGCAGTGCCTCTGGAGAGTGTGAAGAATGAGAGTAGTAATAAAGCTTGTCAATAATTGAATTTAAAAAGACAAAGAAAGCTGGGTGCCCTCACACCTGTTATCCTAGCTACTCAGGAGGCTGAGATCTGAGGATTACGGCTTGAAGCTAGCCCGGGCAATAAAGAAAGTCTGTGAGACTCTTATCTCCAATTAACCACCAATAAGCCAGAAGTGGAGCTGTAGCTCAAGTTGTAGAACGTTAGCCTTGAGTGATAAAGCTTAGGGACAGTGCTCAGACACCGAGTTCAAACCCCAGTACCAGCACAAACAAACAAAACCCAGCCAACCACAAAAACAAAGAAGATACCAGGTTCACATCACAGCACCTTTTACAGTCACTTGCATCAAATAGCCAACACCCCCTGTGTGAAGACTGGAATGACAGCAGAGAACCACTGATTCCTTGCTGGGTGCCCAGTCCAGACGCGTCCATCAAAGTGACACTGATTAGATACGGACTAAGCCATACATCTCTTACATGGGAAGATGTGACTGTGATTTATCAAATAATGTGTTACAGGAGTTACTAATTTCTGCTCCTTGGGAAGCAGACACACCTGTCCATGATGAAATCGGATACCATCAACTTAATTTGCTCCATTACTGGGTTCCCCTTCTGGAACCCAGCTTTTACAGATGATGAGACACTGCTCTCTGTGCTAGGCTAGGACTTAGAGACAGCATACGGGGCTGGGGATCAGCGAGCAGCTATGACCAGTGAGCTCTCAGAATTCTGAGCCAAAGTCTCCAGGCCCAGATAGCAAGCAAGGCTGAGCAGGATCTATTTGAGGATAGCCTGACTTCAGGACAGTGGAAAGAACTGGCCTTGTGGTGGTCTGATATCCCTCTCTCCCTTCCTCCCTCCCTCCCTCCCTCCCTCCCTCCCTCCCTTCCTTCCTTCCTTCCTTCCTTCCTTCCTTCCTTCCTTCCTTCCTATTTTCTAGTGCCAGTCCTGGAGTTTAAACTCAGGACCTATGCACTGTCACTGAGCTTTTGTGCTCAGGGCTAGCACTCTACAACTTGAGCCCAGCTATACTTCCAGCTTTTTGGTGGTTCATTGGGGATGAAAGTCTCACAGACTTTCCTGCCTGAGCTGGCTTTAAACACAATCCTCAGATCTCAGCCTCCTGTGTAGCTAGGATTATAGGCAAGAGCCATTGGCACTTGGCTGTTCTGGCATTCCTATTCTAATTGAAACTCAAGGCTTGGTATCTCCTGCACTGGTGACAGGAGAGCAGGCAGGGAGGACAGGGTCACAGAGTTCCATGGAGCCAAGGTACAAACCGAATCTGGAGATGGGCAGTTACTTCTGGCTGAATGTCTCTACCATGTGGTATGGTGCTCCTGGGAAAGGGCCCCTATCCCAAACATAGCACCTAGGCCTCATGTTGCTCCTTTCCATGGATATTGTCATCCTGTGGGGACTCAAAGGGGTCTAGGAGGGACATGAGTAGAATTCTAGTCCCAGCCTATCTCCAACTTGCTCTCTTACCCCAATCTCAAATGATCTGTGTATTCTTCCCATATTCTAGGCTAATAGGGCAAGTTCTGCCTGTTGAGACAGGCCAGGGGCTTCTGAGGCATCAGCAAGGTTGACCCTAACTCCTGGGACGGCACTTTACTATGCCCAGCTGTGTAACTACCTCCACCTTCTCCACCACCACCTCCTCCTCTTCCTCTTCCTCCTCCTCCTTCTTCTTTTGGAGGGGGACATCCTGGGACTTGAACTCTGGGCCTAGGCACTTTCCTTGAGCTTTCTGTGCTCAAGTAACTGTTCTACCACTTGAGCCACAGATCCACTTTGAGCATGAGTCTCACAGAATTTTCTGCCCAGGATGGCTTGGAACTGTGATCCTCAGATCTCAGCCTCCTGAGTAGCCAGGATTACAGGTGTGAGCCACTGGCACCTGGCTCCATGCCATTCTTGGATGGCTGAAGCCTCAGAACCCCAGGCTCCCTGCCCCAAAGAGGCCACTGCTTCCCGGAGGTAAGACAGGGGTTACATCATACCTTGTTTGTGCCCACCTGAGTACACTCCACACACACACACACACTGCAGGCCCCAGCAAAAATGTGCGTGGAGCCTCATAAGGCGCCAGGCCTCGGGCATCCCTGTTCTCTTCTCCAGCATAAACACAGGATCAGGGTGGGGCAGAGACTGGGTGGGAACCACTGGCGTGTCCAGGCCTGCCTGCATGCTCTATGGGGAGGGGGAAGGGGAAGAAGGAGGGCCTGGAAACACCTTCCAAGGCTGCCAGTGTTGGCTGGAGAGACAAGATAAAAGAGTGAAGAGCTTTTATCAAGACTCTGATAGGGGGATCCAAGGTGGAGGGCCTCCACTGTGCTGCTGATTCTCAGCTATGGCCATGGGAAACATTTCCTATTCCATAAACCTTGTCCTATGACTTTGCTCCTGCCACAGGTGGAATCTACCCTCTGCGTATTTCATCCTCGAATAGTCCCACAGACAGAAGGAGGGGTGCTTAAATCTGAGCCCCTTCTGGAGATCCTGAGGATCATAGCTTGGAAGAATGGACTCTGTCCTAGGGCTGTATGGGGGTCTGAGTGCAAACTCTAAACAGCAGCTGTCGGGGGAGGTAGAGCAGGGTAGGGCAGGGATGGCTGTACAGAGGACTCTCCTGCCCAGGTTGGCCCAGGGCCCTGGCTCCAGCGGCTCCAGCATCTTGTGAATTCAGTGGCTTCCCTGGTTACCAAAGAACAGTACTAACTTCAGAGTCAGATGCAAAGTCCAAGGTTATTGGTAACGTGGGTGAGAATATTCCTGAAGGGCTGAGAATGTGGCTTCGTGGTAGAGTGCTTGCCTAGCATGCATGAAGCCCTGGGTTCCATTCCTCAATACCACAAAAATAGAAAAGGCTGGAAATGACACTGTGGCTCAAGTGGTAGAGTGCTAGCCTTGTGCAAAAGAAGCTCAGGGACAGTGCCCAGGCCCTGAGTTCAAGCCCCAGGACTGGCAAAAAGGAAAAAAAAAGAAAAGAAAAGAATGTTCCTGAAAATCTGTTACTTTTGCCAAGTGCTGATAGCTCACACCTGTAATCCTAGCAGTTCAGGAAGCTGAGATCGTGGTTCAAAGCCAGCTGGAGCAGGAAAACACCATGAAGCTCCTATCTTCAATTAACCACCAAAAAAAAAAAAAAAAACAAACTGGAAATAGAAGAATAGAGCTATGGCTCAAGTATGGTAGAGTGCTAACCTTGAGCACAAAAATTCAGGGACAGCACCCAGGCCCTGCGTTCAAGCCTTCCCAGACAAAGCCTTCCCCAAACCCCAGTCCAACCCTGACTCTTACCCACACCCCCAGATACTCACACTCTTTCATCATGCCAATGTCCACACAGCGTTTGAGTCGACAGGCCTGGCAGTGGCGCCGATTGTCTTTGGTGATGCGACAGTCCCCGTTGAAGGGACAGGTGAACAGTGCCTTCCGTTTCATGCTACGACTGTAGAGAGAGCACATGTCCTGAATTGGGTCACTGACCTTCTGGATCCTTGGCCTTGACTATGAACAGCTTACCAGGGTGGTAACCATAGTAACCTGTCCATGAGCCCCTTGATCTCTGTTTCTCCCATAGTGGGTGGCAGGCCCAGCCTGACCCTGGATCACCCTGTGAACCCTGTTGCCCTGTACAGGGCTGGGTGCACCTGTGAGTTCCTCCTCAGTTTATTGCTCATTCAAGTTCCATGACTGCTTTTACATACTTTTACAGTCCTTTCTTCTCCTCCCCTCTTTAAAATTCCAGAGGAAATATACCAAGTACATTTTCCTGGTAGAGTTTTCTGAAAATACTGAAATGTACAGTATTCTAGAAATGCTTTCAATGAGAGGCAAGAATATTAGTCTCAACTTTCAGTCTTCTAGAGTCCAGAACAATCTGCAACTCAGGGATGGATGGGTACACTGATACATGGAGAAAGGAGAAAATACCCAAGGCCAAACCATAGCTTTAGCTGTCTAGGAAGAGAAGAAGAGAAGAAGCCTGATGTGCCGGTGGGAAACTGAGATCTGGCCTTGACTCCCTTCCCTTCTTTTCCCTTCCCTCCCCTCCCCTCCCTTCCCCTCCTCTTCCTCCTCTTCTTTTTCCTCTTATTTCTCTGTGCTAGGCTTGAACTCAGGGCCTGGCCATTGTCCCTGAGCTTCCTTGCTCAAGGGTAGCACTCTATAACTTGAACTACAGTTCCACTTCCAGGTTTTTTGTTGGTTAATTGGATATAAGAGTCTCTGGGAAGCCAGGCGCTGGTGGCTCATGCCTGTAATCCTAGCTACTCAGGAGGCTGAAATCTGAGGATCACCATTTAAAGCCAGCCAGAGCAAGGAAAGTCTGAGAGACTCTTATCTCCAATTAACCACCAGAAAACTGGAAGCTGTGGCTCAAGTAGTAGAGTGCTTGCCTTGAGCTGAAGAGCTGAGGGACAGTCCTCAATCCCAGAGTTCAAGCCCCATGACTGACAAAAAAAAAAAAAAAAAATGTCATGGATTTTCCTGCCCTGACTGGCTTCCAATTAAGATCCTCAGAACTCAGCCTCCTAAATAGCAGAGATTACAGGCATGAGCCATTAGTGCTTGGCTTTTTTTTTTTTTTCCTGAGACAAGATTTCAGCATATAGTCCAACTTGACCTTGGCTTTCTGAAAGGCAGCAAAGCAAGGGCTCTGTGAAAACCGAAACCTACAAAAACAGTTCTTAGCTAGGAAGGTAGCACCTCACCCTCTAGTCCATGTATACATGGTGTATGTGTGTTTGCACATTTGTGTGTGTGCATGGGTGTTCATGTGTATAGTGTAGCATATGCATGCATGTCCCTGCATGTACAAACTTAAGGACTCACTTGCCTAATTCCATGTTCTTCTTTACTGCCAGCACCCCATGAGAACTTTGGGAGGCTACATGGAGAACATCGCCTTCAAGGTGCCTTTCTGGCAGCCTCTCACCATCCCTTTCCTAGAAGCTCCCGGTATTCTTCCAGCTCTAGTTATCTTCCCAAAGGAACTAACAAGACTTAGCTCAGGAAAGACAGTAGCAGATAACTTTTTCCATGAGGAACAGCATCTTTAGAGCCAAATTCCCCTCTACCTCTTTTCTCCCTGAGTTGAGTGAAAGACCTCATCCTCTCCAGATACAGACACTGGCTATGAATTTTAGTGAAAAGTGACTTGCAGGGCCCTGGTGATTCGTGCCTGGAAATTTAGCTACTCAGGAGACTGAGATCTTAGGATTGTGGTTCAAAAAGCCAAGCAAGCAAAGAAATAGACCACCAAAAAGCCAGAAGTGGAACTGTGGTTCAGTAGTAGAGGGCCAGCATTGAGTGAAAAAGCTAAGGGACAGTTGCCTGAGTTCAAGCCCTAGTACACGGCTCATGCCTGTCATCTTAGCTACGCAAGAGACTGAGAGTGATCGTGTTAAGGTTTGAGCTCAATTCCAGGTAAAAAGTTTAGAATACTCCAACTTAGACATATAGGAAGTATGAATAGGAGGATGATGGACAAAAAATGATACCTTTCTGAAAAATAATGAAAATGATAAGGACTGGGGACATGGCTCAAGCAGTAGGGAGTTTGCCTAGCAGGAGCAAGGCTTTGAATTCAATCCTCAGTCTTGCCTTAAAAAACAACAACAACAAAACCCAACACCCAAACACTGCTTCTGTTCACTGGAACAATGGGATAAAGGACAATCATACTCTTTAGTAAACACACAGATGGAGACCAGAGGGAGCTGGCCCACTTGATCCCAAAAATGAGACTTGAAGAAGGTCCTGCAGCAGCTGCAGGCAATCAAAGACTCTTGGGTCACTTGAGTCTTGGGTCCACAAGTGTCTCCTCATTTAATAGTGGGGGCCACTGAGGTTAAGAAATTTAGCAATAAGGCAGAAATGAAAGCTCTCAGGTCTGGAAGTCTTAGGGATCCAGAGGCTCTGCTTTTAACTTGCTTTCGACTTTGGAACTCAATGCAGTGAAGCCCATGGGTAAATAGCCCCAGGCAGAGGCCCATCAGCACAGCTCAAGGCTGGGGGGGTCCCAGCAGGTAGAGGAAGTAGCTGCGGTTGATCTTGGCTGTGGTCTCCCCATCTGATAACCCTCTTTACCCAAGGGACAACAGTAGACTTGGGGTTGTGTAGGGGAGGTAGTGAACACCAAATCTATCCTGCCTAAAGCCTAGACTTGCCCCACGTGGCAACTGCCCAGAGAGAGACTGGTGAGCCTTTTCTGCCATCATAGAAATGAATGCCTTTCACCTCTCCACCTCCACCACAGGCCCAATATTTTCCTGAGAGACAGCAGACTATGAAAGCTCGTGGGATGTGTTAGAGCTCCCCAGATGTGGTCACCACAGACACATCTGTCTATTCCAGAACGTGGGCTGGATGCCCCTCCCTTCTTCCTCTCCTTCCCCTGCGGTTCTTGAGGATTCGTCACCTGTTACCACAAATGCCCACAATTCTCTAAACCTACCCGAAGACCAGAAGTTTCTAATTCAGAGCAAACTCTCATTTCCTTCCCTCCCCCCCCCCCCCCCCCCCCCCCCGGCATTTAAGCCTGAGAGGCTGCTCTTTCCTCCTACCGCAGTCTTGGCTGGCTCAAAACTCTTCCTGTGAAGCAAGCCTTCAGTGTCCCAGGTACCAAACAGAGCTAAGATGATGCCCTGAGTCCAATAGCATGGCCAGCAACACCCACCAAAGCCTTAAGCAGTGTCCAGTGTCCAGTGGGGCCAAGCTCTTCCTGAGGTTCAGGAGAGGGTCCCAAGTCCCTTCTGAGACCCCATCTGTCATTCCTGAGACCCCCCAGGAGGGGGCCCTCAGGGCGTTTTACAGCCTCAACTTTTTTTTTTTCAGGAGGAGCTGCTGTTGACTTCTAGGTAAGCCTGGCAGCCTTCCCACTACAAGTTTTGTTTTCTTCAGGAAAGAGATTTAGGAGCCTTACCACCTTTTCTACTTATTAAAAAATGCTTTCTCCTATTATTTGACATCTGAAGCCCAATTTCAGGCTTCCATATAAGAGAGGTTGCAGATATCCATTGGCTCAACTGTATCTGGCAACAGGAGTAGGTAGGTTTGGGGTCAGAATGCAATAAACAATTTTAAAAATGTAGAGTCGAATTAAAAGTAAATACTTGAAGCTGGTACTGATGGCTTATGCCTGTAATCCTAGCTACTCAGGAGACTGAGATCTGAGGACTGAGGTTCAAAGCCAGGAAAGTTTGTGAGGCTCTCTTATCTCCAACTGATACCAAAAAGCCATATGTAGAAGTGTTTCTCAAGTGGTAGAGTGCCACTTTGCACAAAAAGGTCAAGTAAGAGCAAATGGTCCTAAGTTCAAGCCCTAGGACCAGGACCAAACACCTTTTTTTTTTTTGCCAATCCTGGGACTTGAACTCAGGGCATGGGCACTGTCCTGGAGCTTCTTTTTGCTCAAGGCTAGCACTCTATCACTTGAGCCACAGCACCACTTCTGGCCTTTTCTGTGGTACTGAGAAATGGAACCCAGGGCTTCATGCAGGCCAGGCAAGCATTCTACCACTTAGCCACATTCCCAGCCCCAACACCAAAATTTGTAGGTAGAAATCCTAGTGTTCTTGCTTTCATTGTATGAGATTAGTATGAAGCTCCAGAGTATTCCAGAGGAGAAGAGATGATAGAAGCGGAGGAAACCAGAACAGAGAAAGAAGAGAAAAAGGAGGAGGAGGAGAGTAAAGTCCTGAGCTCTTTCTGGAGCCAGGCACTGACTCTCACAGCACTACCACTTTAGCCATAGCTCCACTTCTGTTTTTGTTTTTTTATTTTTTGCTAGTTAATTGGAAATTAGCTATTCATAGACTTGGCTGCCCGGACTGACTTTGAACTATTAGCAAGGATTACCAGTATAAAGTACCAGCACCTGGCTTGGAGCTTTAAAATTATTATTCTTATTTGAAAATACAAATAATCCACTCTTCCCAGGGCCTCTAAATACAGAATCAGAGGAAGGGGCTGGTGAGGGGGAGGGTGGAGACACCTGACACTCGAGGTAGTGGTCAGCAGTCAGGTTGAGCCCTCAGGAAGCTCATTTACTCCAACAGCCAATGCCAGGGCCTTCCCAGAACCTGGACCTCAATCCCAGGGACTTCAGCCATGTCTACTCCAATATGTTTCCTGGGCCACAGGTCTTCTTGACTTCAAGACCAATTTCCTCCACTCCTCCCTCCTAAAAGCATTTCCACACATATGGCTGTCATCTAGTCTCTGCCCACAAAGAGTCAAGGCAGCCAGGCCACCCAACCCTGGCTCTGTGCTTTATCTTGAAGACCTATACCCTACCCCACCTTCCTCCCAAAGCTAATTGCCTGTGAGCTGGTTTGGTGTTCTGAGAAACAAGAGCCTTGGAATTCTAAGGGAGCCCAATGCCTTTGCTGTTCTCTGAGCCTGAACCCTGTCATCCTCTGGATGGTTGGCAATTATACCCTAGCT